GTCACTGGTCCTTACAGATTCAGGCTTTACTTCCATTGTTCCTCCCATATTAGTTTAATATAAACCATAAACTACATTGCTCATAAAAATTGGATTAAATAGATTTTTTGACAATGTCTTAAAAACTCATTAAAAACTAATAAATACGAGGATTAAAACATAAAGTCTTTCACAAGTTTGATGCTTTCTCCAGTAAACTCAAAATATAATGTGGAGGCTGCTCTTTTATAGTTTTATTTTAATCATTTTCTAATAATATTAAAAATATGAAACTCAATTGAGGTGGTTGTCTAAGACCTTGAAAGCTGTAAAAGCTAGAAAAAAACACCAAAAGCTTCCCTACGAACTTTTGAGATGCTATAGACAAGAGACATTCATGTTCATATTCAAAGAATAGAGGCTTACAGACACCAGCTTTGTGCCAGGTCTCGTGCTAGACATTGTCTTATGACTCCCACCGACCTGAGACTGAGCTTGTGGGGTTGTCACGTCCATGCTAGGGAACAGGAACAGTGCTTGGGTTACCCTCACAGGATGCAGGGAATTAAAAGATTTATGACGTGCAATAAGCCAGGGGAAAAAAGCATCAGTGTTACCAGTTTCTGAGGAAAAAACACGTCTTTATAAAAGGAATTTTCCTTTCTCTAGCAAACCTATAGCTTAAGTTTGACTGAGAGGATTAACTCTGATATTTTCTTTAGAGGAATTGTTTTTTTTTTCTTTTTTCCTTTTTTTCCTGAGCAGGACTCCTGCACAGTGAGGTAGCAGTTTAAATTTAAAAAGATTAAATAACACAGGGGACTTCATCTTAACCTACTTAATTTCCTAGGATTCCTGGCCCTGACACTAGGCTGTTTTGTAAATGTACAACAACCTGAGATCATGGGGAGGTTGGGATCTATGTGTGCAGCCAGCTAAGCAATAGAGTGGAAAAAAAGACCAGGATCTGGACTTAGAAGGTCCAAATTAAATCTTAGTTTCATCAAAGCTCTCCCTTTTTCCAGATCTCAGCTTACTCATTTGTACACAAAGAGATTGATAATTATATTAGTCAGGATTCTTTCAGAAGCAGATCTCAGAAATTCAAGTTAAAGTGAATTGAGAAAACAAGAAATGGGTAGGTGCACAGACTGAAAAGTCCAGTCACACTAGCTGCAAGCAGGGCTGGGCCGAGGGGCTCCGGTTATGTTATCAGGCTCTGCCCCTCCTCATTCCACAGCCCTGCTTTCCTCAGAGTTGGCTTTATTATTATGTTTTTGGCTCTAGGCTTTTATCTCTTTATCTAGTAACTTTTAGAGAGAATTTTCTTTCTTAATAATTACAATAAAAGAATGGTGTCTGTTCCAACTTGGCTCAAAGCTCTTCATTAAATTAATCACGATTCATTAGATTATTAATTTATTTACTAATTGTCATTTCGGCTTGACTATGGAATAGGAGCTGATTTAGGCCTCTGTAACACAATGAGGAACTGGCACAAAGAATGCATATAAATCAAAATATCCTCAGCTTTCAGAGAGCATTTATTTGGTGGGGCAATCTGATAGTACACTGACACATGAATAAATACATATTCTTTTTCCATGCTTGTTATGTTATAAGAAAAAATAAAGCAGGACAAGGGAATAAAGAGTGATAGGGTCCTATTTTATATAGGGTGGTGAGGCAAATCTTTTTTGATTGGGTGATAGCTGTGATTCTTCTGGGGCAAAAGTGATGCTGGGAGAAAGACAGTAAGTTTAAGAAGCTTGCGGGTATCACAGGAAAGGCAAGGAGACCAGTGTGGTTGGTGCAGGATGATTTAGGAGGACAGTGTGAGGTATGAGGATGGGAAGGTAACTAGTGTCATTTTTTATTTTAATTTTGTTGGAGGAAGACTTAGAGCAATAGACAGACAGGAGAATTATCTTATGTCTTCAAAAGATCACTGCTGTTGCTATTGGAAGAGTAGATTGTAGAACACAGGACTGGAAGCAGGGCATCTACTGGGAGGTTATTCCACCGGTCTAAGTCTGAGATGGTGTGGTTTAGACTGTAGCAGCTGGGGGAGTGAAACGATCAGATGGCAGATTCTCGACCATCCCTCAATGATTCCCTTTTTACTAGACTTCTCAAATCTCTGAGGCTATTTACTGCTCTCCGCCTCTGGGCTCCCCTTAACACTTAATACCAATAATGTCCCCTTTATTATAACACCATCACAATAAGCACTTGCATTAGGTTTCTCAAGGTTATAGAACTCACGTTAACCTTACTGGGTCACATTGAAAGGATCAGTTTTACTAGATAGTTTGAAATTGGCTCTCTATAGCAGTTTAGCAATTTATGCTTATAAACCAGGATGAGAATCCATTCCTTCATATTTAGCCAATCCTTTGTATTTTTAGATTTTACAATTTTTGCCAGTTTGAAGAATGCAAAATTAATTGTTTTTTCACTGATTATTAGTGGTCATTCAAGGCTCTACTCACAGACCTTATTTGTATCCTATTTGATGCATATGTATATTATTTTCAGAATTTCTGTTTCTGAGACCCCTGTGTGTAGCCTTTTGGATTATACACTGCAGAGCCTCTAGGGGGCATTGTTCATGAGATTGGTGCCACTGGGTGCAGCAACAAGGTGGCTCTGAGGCAGAGACTGTCTTAAGACCTCTCTATACAAAATTGTATTTAAATCAGGATTTGATCTATAGTAAGCCCTAAATAAATGTTTTACTGAAAAGGTGGTAGTTATACTGATATTTCAGTAACATTGCTTTGCTTCCAATGCAATGTTATTTTTTATTGTATCTACTTTTTCAGTCTTATTCTTTTTTGAAAGTCACATCACCAGGAAATGTGCTTGTCTACATGATGTATTATGACCTCTGGCTTCTTAATTCTGTAACATGAGACTCTCATTGCTGAGTCCATATATTATCATGGAAGACATACATTGAAGTGGGTGGATATTTGAAATTAGGGAAAGGATCCTACTCGATTAACTGTGCATTTGAAGTTGTCAAGATAAAGGCTTTTATTTCACAAAAAGAATTATTCTCATGAACCCTAATTCCTTATTTTTGTGCAATATTTTTGGTTTGCAAAGGATATTCACACATACTATATCATTTGGCTTCCACCAAAACCCTGGGAGTTAAGTTGAGCACATATTATTACTGAGTGTGAGATATATTAGTAAGCTGGTCAAGGCCACAGAGCTAATGAGGCAGGCAAAATCTGATTTTAATGGGCAGGAACGTGCCCATCTAAGAAACTAAATAGCCCAACTTCATTTGCTGCAGAATACAGCCATGGGAAACCATTCTATCCAATGAGACATAAAAATGGAAGCTGGCTGAGAATTTGTTTCATATTTCTTTTCCCTATCTTAGACATTAGCATTCCATCGTTTGCAATTCTAATTCTGTTTTGGAGCCCTGCTTCCCAGAATACCTAAACTGACACATTTGGTTTCAACTACATTAAATTATTAACATGTAATAATTAAAAGGCGGTGCTATAAAGGGCCAAATCAGGACTGAAATCTAGGGCGTCTATAGCTCTAATACACCATGCTCTTTGAGAATAGGCTTAGGGAGAACAGTGGACTAAATAATTCGGAAGATGATAAAAGAGTCAATAATGGGCAAATAGGTTTGCTTCCCACCCTCACTGGCCTTTTAGCCTAGTGATTGTAGCCATCAATTTAAATGTCCAAAGACTAATGTTTGATTACCCTCTTGTCTTGAAAACTCTTTCTTCATTCCAGTTCTCTACACTCCTGTTTGTTTCTGTTTTGTTTTTCTGCTCCCTACTGAACATCTCTACTTGGATGTGCAATTGGCATTCAACCTAACATGTCCAAAATGATACTTCTGATTTTCATTTTCAGACCTGCTCCCTTGGTTTTTGGTAGCTCTTTCCCATCAGTTGCTGAGACCTAAAATCTTGGAGTCATCTTTGACTCCTCTTTTAATCTCATACTTCACATCCAGTTAATTAGCAAAAGCTATTCGCTCTGCTTTAAAGTAATGTCCAGATTCAACAATTTCTTACTACCCATCGCTATCATCAAGCCATCGGTTGTCAGGATTATTTTAATAACCTCTATTTGAACTCTCGGCTTCTCTCCTTGCCCTCTTCTAAGCCTATTTTCAGTATAACAGATAACATGACCCTATTACATCATAATTTAGATCTTGTGTTTCCTCTGCTCAAAACCTAACAATATCTTTCTTTTTTACTGAGAGAAAAATGAAGCTGTTACAATGGTCCACCATGCCCTGTACAATTTAGATTCCTGTTCCTTTCATGTCTTCATCTCTTCTTACTCTCTTTCTAGCTTAATCCATTCCAGTTTCACTGGCCTCCTTGGCCCAGGCCCCACCCCCTGAGATTTAAATCCGTAGAGTGAGGATTCTGGTGCATCTGCTTAGTTTAAGGAGAGTTCAGATCAATCTCACAATCATCTTAGTCTCTCACCTGTCATGCTAATGCGTGAGAGTCAACACAGCGCTACAATCCTTACTTTACAAACCTGTCTCTTTACTATGAAAATTACCCAGGGAGAGGCTATAATTAAGGGCCTATCAATTATTGATAGTTTTAGATTACCAGTAAATTCCTTTCCTCACTTGCTTTCCTAAGAGGTAGTTTTGCCTGTAGTCATTACAGAAACAATAGTGAATCTCTTTCTCTTTTTCACCGTGTGGAACAAGCCACCTTAAGCGTGCAGAGTGCTTCACAGTTGGTTATTTTATCATTTAGTCCTTCATTATAGTATGTCCCCCTTTTTCAGAGGAGGAAAATTAAATAACTTCTCCTGGCATCCTCTCCTATCACCAGCTTCAATGATGAAGGAACTCAGTTTGAGAGAAATAGGGCATTCTAGTAGGTGGAGTCACTCAAATATTTGACAGATGGCCCTTTCTTAGGAACAGAGTGAGTCAATCATATCCCAAGTCATCTTCTCTTCCAAGCATGGCAATCTTGAAATAATAATTAGAAAAACAAACCAAGGATCCATGTTTTTATTATAAAAGAAACCCAACAATTTATTGAAAAAGAATAATGCTTTATACAAATTTCCATTACAAAATCCCAAAATATCCATTGGGTTTGTTTCCAGGTACAGTAGCAGAATACAAAAATATCAAAATTGGCTAACTTCTGGTGTAACAATTCTGTTGGTCATTTTGGATTATAGATTTCTTTGCAGAAATTAGCAACTAGTAAACCACATGCATTTACACTCACACATTGTTAGGATTTATGTATATAGCAAAAGCTCTTTGAATTATACTTTCCAGAAGCATAGACTCAGGTTTGGAAGAAATTAAAATTTACTAGGTTCAAACTCTCATGTGATGCAATCCTTTGGATAACTTTCCCATGTAGTTTCACTATGAATTACCATTCCCATACTATCCTAGCAGTGTTAGCAACACCTAAAGCAATAGCTCTGAAGGCATCACTGAACAGATATCCACTTTGAATATCCTTGCAAGTTATTATAATTCAAAAAATCTTGCATACTTTGGCTTTGCCAAGACTTACACTTCTGTTTTACCCATTACATCTGCAGACTTGCCCTAGGTCAAGTCTGCATTCCTGAGACGAGAAAAGCTTAGTCCCAATAAAGCATTAGGCCATACTGACTGAAGAAACTGACTTCCTTAGGATCCTCTTCATTTAGTAAGCTGAATTTCACTGTAGTGTCTCATCACTTGAGATATTGGTTACTGCAAGAAACCCATTCCTTAAAATTTTTCTCTTTTCAGTCATTTGAAAAGTAATCCCAAACCTATGCACTTAAATCCCTTAGTTCTTTCCTTTATTATAGTACTTTTCACTTTACAGACCACATTTGCATATATTCTGTCTCGCCAGATCCCCACAAAAGCCTTGCGAGGCAGGCAGATCAGGAATTACAATCCCTCTTTTTTAACAGATGAAACAATAAATCTAGGCCAGCTAAGCGCATTGCCCAAACTCGGGCAGTAATTGATAGCACCAAGACTCAAATCAGGTCTCCAGACACCAACACCAACACCCTTTCATTACATCATCTTGCTCCAGGAAAGTAGCATTTTCCACTGACTGGAAAACTAAGAGTGATTGTTAAAATGGAACAGAACACCAACAACATGACTGGTGTAGCTGAGAGAAAGGAAATGGGCCGGGGGGGAAGGGGGGTACAAACAATGTGAAGGTGTGTGTGCAGGTTTGGTTCAATGAGTTCCAACAGCCAATTGAGCAAAGAAAAACACTACTTAGACATATTTCATGTTTAAAGAATGAGCATAATACCAACTAATTAATACTCACACCACCTCCACCAACTAGTTAAGTATCATTATCTCAATTTGCCAGATGGGAAAAGAGGAGAAAGAATAACTGATGAGCTTACGGCTACAGAGAGAATATTTGTCACCAGATTATCACTACGGAAAATCTAGCACTTCATGCAGAAAAACAGACCATACTTCTCTGGGAACAGGTAAACTATATGATAATTACATAGGAAAAACCATAAAGCTGAGCAAGGAGGGGGGAAGAAAAAGGGAGTTTGGAGGGTTACAACAGTAAATAAGTAGCTTAAAAGTCAATAAATGAAATTGTGTTACAACACTGGGAAAGCAACACAGAGCTGCTCAATAAGGCAAATATTTTCAAAGCAAACAAGAGTGGTACAGGTCAGAGTACAGAGATGAGGTGGGGCGGTCAACGGGAATGTCATCTGGCCATGCACGAAGATTTGCACCAAAGCTCTGGCTTGTAAGAGATTCTTATTGATTTTAGAAATTCAATAGTGTGCTCAGGAAATGTGTTGTTAGATTCAAGAGTTAAGCCAAACCTAATAAAAAACAAATAAAGGCATGAAGAATGACTGACTGATGCCAAAGCAAGTGCTGTGAGATCAACCTGAAAAGGGCACATCTGGGGAACTGAAAGAATTTATACTCTCTTTAGTAGGTTAAGTCTTATGTCAAAGACACTAAAAGCTGATGAAGGAGGGTAAATTATATATGGTCTATTATATATGTGTACATATAGAAAGAAGAGACATATACTGAAGAAACTATTTACTTAATATAGACTTAAATATATATATTTTTAGTTATGTTTTAAGTATGTTGATACCAACATAATAAGAGATTCTACTAATTTTTATAGAAAAACATGTCTATATACATATCTATAATTAAGGAGCACCCCTCCCCACATTTGAGATGATTACTCAGTGGGGAGCAGTAATACAAATGGAAAAGGCTTCCCTCCCATATTAAGGACAGGAGATAAAATAAGACTAACTTACTTTTAACAATGGGTATTTTAAAAAACACGTGTTTTTTTTAATAATACCACAGTTCAGACTACAATAGTCAAGAGTTCGAGGTCTTAAAGTCAATGATGATGTTTTACTGTCCATTTTCTGTTTGTTCCAGGGTTGTCTCCTTTTGCTTCTGTGTCACACATAGTCTTTCCCACTGGAAGGTGCAGGTTTGGGATAGGGCCTTGGTGTTGGGTAAGATGTTGTTTTTCGGGGACAGGAGCAGCAAAGTAGGGCACCTCCCAGAAGGCAGAGGGAAGCAGCAGCCCAGCCAGTGAAGAGAGCAGTGCCAAATTCATACCTGAGAGGAAAACACAATGCATTTGCTTAGACAATGAATCACTGGAAACTTTTCTGACATAATTAGAAATCTCATTATATATATTTTTCCAGTGGAAATAATCCCCCATGATGCCTGGGGGAATTACTTTCGGGTCTGTGCTCACACACACAAGAATGTCTACACTGCAGTTGTTGACAGTTTGCAATAGTAGATCAGGCAGTAGGGCATGCAACACCAGGTCAATTACACAAATATTTCCAAAGACTTGTCCATGTGTAGGAGACTTGTAAAGCATGTTTAATACTTTAGAAGTCAGGTTTGAACTATGGTTCCTAGGCTAAAGCTTAACAAGTCATGTTATCGCCAAGTAGCAACCATATTCTATAAAGAAACTGCTGGAGTGCTAGACCATTAAGAGTTTTTAATAGTTGATCCCAAGTACCTCTATACACTGAAATCTGAAATTTATGGTTTTGTAAAAACAGACTTCTAAGCAGCCCATGGAGCAGTCTAGATTAGGCTGACCTAAGCAAATGTATTAGGCCAGACTCTTGGGGAGAGGATCTGTGATTGGCAGCAGACAATAAGAGTAGAGAAAGTTAGATCCAGAGTTAGAAAGCCTGGGTTCAGATCCAGATGCACACTCTCAACTGCTGCAACTGTGTGCTAGTAATTTCACTTCTCAACCTCAGTTTCTGCTTCTCTCTCTTTTCTTTTTAATCTTCACTCAAGGATATTTTTTTCATTGATTTTTAGAAAGTAGAAGGGAAGGAGGGAGGGAGAGAAAGAGAGGGTGAGGAGGGAGGGAGAGAGAGACATCGATGTGAGTGAGACACATCAATTGGTTGCCTCCCAAGCTCGCCCCAACTGGGGCCAGGGATCAAGACTGAAACCCAGGTACATGCACTTGACCAGGAATCGAACCCATGACCTTTTGGTGTGTGGTCCAAAGCTCTAACCACTGAGCCACACAGACCAGGGTTCTGCTTCTCTTAAAGCAGGATAATCCTATTTGCCTTACTGGATTACTTTTGGGATCACCTGAGACATGAAAATAAAATGTATAGTGCCTAGTAATTTATAAACTGCTCTCTCATCCATTACTGGTAAAATGTTAGCCTATTGACCTCCAGCAGTTTCTGTCCCTACATTGTAAATCTTATGGGAAGGGCTCCAACACAATCATTGCAATGTGGGTGATTATATAAAAAGAATCACACCTTATCTATCCAACCAGTGGGATTTTTCATCTATTCATCCTAACACTCATAAACAATAATTACATCCTAACATCCTGACTCTGAATGTAGTTATTAGGCTTTAAAGACATGAACACGGTGAGACAAAGAGCCTTGTCCTTGATCAAAGAGTGTCATTACAGGAGAGCCGAGAATCCACCCTTGAACTTCTACAACTTGCAATATTAAGAAAGTTGACCTTTGGAAAGTCAATTTTATAGTTGTGATGGGACATAAAATTTCAAAGTAGTATCATGACTTACTTTTTTCATAAACAAATTAAACTTTTTTTCATAAATTAAGTAAATTATTGAGAATGAAGTATTACTTATTAAGCCATAGAGTAGTACCACATTTTTTCAATCATGAGCTGTGTACTAGTTACAAATAATTATAATTAAGTGTTGTAAGTATCAGAATATACTTCAAAAAGTACATTTCAAATATGTTAACATATTTATTAACATTAAAAAACACACGACGAGACAAAAGGCCCAGCACACAGTTGCAAAATATAAAGCTTTGAACTTTCCTATTTTAAATACATTGTCATCAATATAGGCTGTTAAAGCAATTATCAAACTCATTTTAACATGAATCACAGGCCATTCAAATTATTTTCAAGTTTGACATAAAATTCTGGAAAGCAAATCTGGGAAGCTATGGCACTAGCTGGACTGTGCAGAACATAACAAGGACATTTTCACAGAAAATGAGCTATTTTACACATGAATAGCATTACCTGGCATTGACTGGGGTCATGGGGTCATAGAATTCTTGAACAATTCTGTGGCCATACCATGCTGTGGCAACTAAAGCAGCCAGACCTAGAGAAATTCAAAACAAAAGATTGTTAATCACTATGGAACACTGAGCATAAATATACAGCCCATTAAATTTATAAGGATTTCACAAAAATTAACTCTCATCAATAGTGCTGACATTTTTAATTTAGTCAATTTTAATTCAGACAATTTTAATTTAGGGAGATTAGCAGTTCACACCTGATTTGTTCCAAGAATTCTGTTAAGATGGACAAAAATATTAGGTCAGAGTTAGGCACAGTATATATTCTGTCATCTTACTCATTTATAGCTCAAGGTCACTGGCACATATAAAGTTTTTTAGGAAACAAATCAGCCAGCTCATGTCACTTAAGATCCTCAAAGATATTGCTACACATTAGTGTACTAAACTGCTTTTCATAAAACCAACATGCTTATTACTATAGATGAGTCACTTGAAAAAGGGAAGAAGAAACCCTTCCACATTCTTTCTGACCAAAACACAAGATGCACATTTCTGTAGGATCAAAAGGAAAGCAGCTGGATAGCAAGAAAGAGTACAGCATGTCTCAGAATGGACCAGACCCCCAAATTCCTGCTGCTCCACTGGTCGGACCTGCCAGGCATTGCCTCGAGACTTGCTGAGATGCCACATCAGATAAATGTATGCAGCATGCTCAGTTTCCATACATTTCATATTTCAGTAATACCAAAGAAACTACTTAAGCAAAATAATTCTTTCCATCATTTGACACAAGCATATAAAACATTGATTTTTCTAATCCAAAGAAATAACTTACTTTTATAGTAATTCTAAGAAACCATCAATATAGACAGATTAAATCTTTCAATGCTGTCCTCCTCGCCCTCAAAAAAAGAAAAAGAAAAAAAAAAAAGTGGTCCAAGCTAATTGCCTCTAATACTTGACAGAAAACACTAGTGCTTTTGGCTGCTCAGGTGCATCGTGAGAATGCTCTGGAACTTCTGAGCCTCACTCCCTAAGAAGTCCTTAAACTGAACGGGGAGTGACGCAGCCATCTAGAGGAGCTATAAGAAGGTGAGCAAAGGAAGGGCGCTATGCAGTGAATTTATTCATAGCCTTTGATGTAAAATTAAACTTTTGGGAATAAAGCACCATCCGTGGGGGGTTTTGGGGGAGGGGGCAATTTGGATAAACTGAAAGACTGGTGACTGTCAACTAACCAAATCTTTAGCAAAGCCACAGGCACTCTGCATTATTGGTTAAATCCACCTATTATGCTGGAGCAAAGGCCCCTACAAGGTCTTTTGTCAGAGAAAAACAGAAAATAATGTCTAATTCTAGTTTCTCCTAGTGGTAGGTTATATCGCTGGTGTCATTTTCAAACACAATAGACTACAATACATATTATGTATAGAATATAATAGTTTATTTCAAAAATAGACTATATATGCAAAATACTATTTTATACACACACGTGCAATCTTATTCAAAACAAGCATTTTTATAACACTAAAATGGAACTACCATGTCTCTTCTGGCTTTTGTTTTCTCAAAGGTCACATATCTAACTCATCAATCAATACTTCAATAAGGCAACAAATACATACTGGTTTTTTTCAAGGCCTTTCTGTATTGTTTTCATTCTTAATTCATTTAATCTAATTTCCTAGCATTCCAACATTCTACCTCCACTCCGACTGGCCTTTCTCTTCACTGATGGGTGGGTACATCCTGCTTATTTTGGAATCAGATCTGCCCTCCTGAAATGAAGTTCTCATTTTTTTCCCAATAATCCCAACCCCATCCATTCCTCACACACATGTATGATTCACACATTCTTTATGTTCTCTCTTACCACTCCCCATCTTTGCCATATATTGTCTGTGGGGAAGCCACAAACATTTTCTGTGTAAATAGAGTTGTTCCTTAGTGTTTGCTAGATAGATCTCTGTCTCTTCACCTGGGAGAACTGGTTCTAATAAACCAGTTGGCACCTGAAACCTCAAAGAATAGATCTGTCCACTGTGAGCACAAATCTCGCATGTTCGTTTCCTCTTTGAGAATGTGAAAGTCAGCTGGACTTAATGTTTCTATGTCTTCAGAGTTTAAAGGGACTGAAATCAATTCAAGTGCAAGAAATCCAACATTATCTAAGGAAATGGAAAGCTCAATCTCAAACCATGCCAGAGACAGTTTAGTAAGGTAAAACCATGCCAGAGATAGTTTAGTAAGGTAAAACCATGCCAGAGACAGTTTCGAAAGACGGGGCAGGGCCTCTCTTACCTGCGATAAGAAATATCACGCCCCCGATGACGGCCATCCGCATCTTCTGGACTTCATCGTCTTCCAGGCACTTCATACACTTCATGCCAACAGTGGCCACGAAGATAGCTATTAGTCCCAGCAGGATGCTAACCACCATCAAGGCACGAGTTGCTTGCAAAGTGCCTGGCAGAAAATATTTTAGAACATGTAAAAATAATCATGTCTGGACCCACAAGAGACAAACAAGTATAGTCAATGGTGTATGAAAGAAAGAAAATTAAACTAGGAGTCAGGAGATTCCAGTTCTAGTGATGTTTCTGTAGGTAACCAACATAGTTTCTTCTCCAGAAAAACAAACAACTGGCTGGATAATGAATAAGAAGCCCTTTGGCTCTAACATTTTATGTTTTCAACATTAAATTCAAATTCCTCCAGAAAAATAATTAATGGTTTGGTTGAATAGGTTTAGCTGATCTCATGCATCTTTAATCCTTACTAAAGGAGTATTTTAATTCTGAAAAACAATCATATGTATTATCCTTAATGTTAAACCATTTATAATTAGAATGGCTTACAGTATATCTTGGTAATAGTCGATGGTTTTATATCCTAGTCATCAAGTTTCAGGGGGAAAAAAGGGTGAACATGAAAGATAAGAAATTAATTTCTCATAGGTTATCATGGCTGAATGAACAGCATTTGTATCTCCAAATGCTGAGATGAGGGTCAGGGATATTAATGCCATTTTCTTAGAACAAAACTAAATAATCTCTGTGATGTTACTTTAGGACAGAATAGATTCAGAGATATCACCCATTTTTAAGACTATTCAATTGTCTTGTTGTCAAATAGCAGATAATATTTCAATGTAGCATTTCTCAGGGTTCCACCACTTTTCTAATTTCTAATTTCCTTTTCTAAATGACAGTTCTTACTGTCATTTTGAACTAAGTCATGATCACACAGACGGGGGCAGGTGCCAGAGGTTATGTCAATATGTTTCTTCAAGGGTAAAACCATGACACCACCATAGTGGCACAAATGCACAGACTTAAAGAAAACGAGCTGAAACTAAGCTGGTGAGACGAGTTTGATGAATTCTAGATATCCTTCCTCCTTCACGTCAAGATCCTTATCTCACTGGCAGTGCTCACACGTGACACGTATTTCTGCATATATAAATACTATTTACATCGGAGCACACCATGCTACCTTGGGTAAGCTGCTTATTATTCTTTGGGACCATGCTCCTATTATGTAAAGTGGGAATGATGGTATCTAATCAGGCAGTTGGAACAACCGACTTCTCGATGCTCTTCAAAAGTGGCTGACGTGATGGAAAGGTTTTATATCTCACTCATTTAGACCTAGGTTCAGTCAGTATTTTCAGACTTGAGAATATAAGTTACCAATCCTAATTCACACTAAGATATCTAAAACATCAATTTTAATTTTTTGATATTTCTATCCCTGCCATAACCGATCTATGATAAAATCATAGTAACCTCTCTCTAAGAAGTAGCAAAGGCTTTTTGTTTGTTTGTTTGCTTTCTGTATTTGAGAGGTACTTTGGAAGCCAAGATACATTTTTACTTGATTTAATTATAAAGCAAACCAGAGATACTCCCTTTCCCCCCTCACACACACACCTCCTCATAAGTGTGTGTGGGCACACCTGCACCCTACCTACACACTTATCTGAAGATGCCAGTGTGGTATAAGAGCTACTGAATCAAAACACATGTCCCACTGTGGTATGAAGAGGAAAGTACCAAGGACTCCACCGTTAGGGTGTGTCTTTCCTTCTGATTTACAAACTGTTTTTGCAAAGACAATCATTACTAAGAAGAGAAATGAAAATAAAACAACTAAGCCCTTATACACAACACAGATTGGAAATTCCACTCAGAAGGAAATCATTTCGAGCATAGGAATATTGGAAGAGGAGACGTGGAAAGTTACAAAGATGATCCACATGCCTGGAGGAGAGGGTGCTCTCTGGTCCATTTGCCTGGGACTGTCTTGATTTTAAAACAACTTGTCCTACACAGACAATAGTGTGAAGGCCTGGGGTGAGGCGGGGG